AATTTAAGAAACGAAACAAACGAAAAAGAGACAAACCAAAACACAGACTCCTAAATATAAAGAACAAACTGATGATTACCATAGGGGAGGTGGGGGGGAGTGTGAGGATGAGTGAAGGGGATTGAGAGCACACTTCTCTTGATGTGCATTGAGTAATACACAGAATTGTTGAATCACCATATTGTACACCTGAAACTAATATAACACTATATGTTAGCTATATGGGATTTAAAATATAAGTACTGTATGGTGACTAACATAACATAATAAAAAATAAAAATTAAAAAGAGTAAATAATATTTCTTTAGAGTAGTAATGAACAATCAGAAAATGAAATTTTTTAAATGCCATTTACTATAATATCCAAAAACTTCAAGTACTTAAGAATGAAAGGTGCACTTAAAGGAGTACACCAAAATCACAAAATATTGCTGAAAGAAATGAAATCCTAATAAATGAATGGATGTGTCATAGTCATGGAGTGGATGAGTCAGCATTTTTTTTAAAGATTTATTTATTTATTTATTTATTTGAGAGACCATGAGCGCGTGGGATAGGGGGGGCAGAGGAAGAAGGAGAAGCTGAATCCCCACTGAGCAGGGAGCCCAACACGGGGCTCGATCCCAGGACCCTGAGATCATGACCTGAGCTAAAGGCAGACGCTCAACCAATGAGTCAGTATTTTTAAGATGACTTTTTTTCCCCCAAAACTGATCAGTCCCAACTAAATCTAAGAAGGCTTGTCCTGAGGAAATTGACAAAATGGTTCTAAAGTTGTTATGGAATTGCAAAAAAGAAAAAACAGTCTTGAAAAAGAACAGTGTTGAAGGACTTAGGTACCTGATTTTGAAACTCCCTGTAAAGCTCTGGTAATCAAGACAATGTGACATTGGCATCCAGAGAGACCAACAGAGAGGAAAGCAAAACCACAAAAACAAAGCAAACCTGGGGAAAAAAATGAATCCAGAAATAGACCCCATGTCACCAACTCCATTGAGTAGGGAAAGAAAAGGTTTTTTGACAAATGTTTTGGAATGACTGAAGATTTAGATGGGTATAAGTAGCCTCAATCCCTTCCTCGTAGAATACACGAAAATCACGAAAATCTGTTCTAGGTGGATCATGGCCCTGCATGTCTGTGATGAGAGTTTTAGAATAAAGCTTCCAGGAAATACTGCAAAGACAGTCTTCATTACTTGGAATATGCAAAGATTTCTTAGGGCACAAAAAAGCACTAAGCATAAAAGGAAGACTTGATAACTGGACTTCATCAAAATTAAAGTTAATATGGTTAAGAAAATTGATAGAAAAAATACAGACTGGGAAGATGTATTTATAATAACATATCTGACAAATCCGCAGAAGACTTGAATATACATTTCACAGAAGGAGACCTACAAGGGGCCAATAAGTGCATAAAATGTGCTCAGCATCTGTAGTTATCAGGAAAATGCTGACGAATCACATGGCATACTTGCGTAGGCAGCGCATAGCCCACAGTGAGGACAATATAGAACAGGTAAGCACAGCTACTGCAGGGTGACCTGCAGATTTGGGAAGCATTCCATGTTCTGTGCGGTTCCTGAAGTTCCTCCCTTTGCTGATTAGCTCCCCAAAAATGAGTCAAAGCACAACATGTGGTACTCCATTGAAACTGTGATTTTCACTTAAAAAAAAAATACAGTGCTTCCATGTCTCACCTCCTAGAATAATTAAGATCAACAAGGCTGACAGTACTAAATGGTGATGAAGACGTGGAGCAGCTAGAACCCTTAATCATTGCGAGTTTGGGGACAGATTTAACAGTTTCTTATAAAGTTCAATGCATGTCAGCCCTGTGAGCCAGCATGTCAGAGTATGTACCGGAAAGAAAACCTGCCTACAAACTTATTTGTACAAGCTTTGTCAGGATAGCCCCTAACTGGAGATAACCCAAATGTCCCACAGCAACAGGATGGAAGAGTACATGATGACGTGTTCATACAGCAGAACACTTCCCAGAACGTAGAGGGGCAAGCTGCTGCCGCAAACATCATGTGTGAATTCCAGAATCATCGTGTTCAGTGAAAGCCAACACAGGAGAATACATGCTGTGTTATTTTATATGAAGTCTGATAATGGGTTAATCTGTGGTGTTAGAAATCACAAAGTGGTAGCCTTTTGGGGTCAGAGGTGAAGGAGTTTTTATATGCTATTTGGGGTGGTAGTCACATGGGTGTATACGATTGTCCAAATTCATGTAACCAAATGTGAAAAATCTGTGCATTTTGTTGTCTGTAAATTATACCTCAATTAAAATGGTGAAAAGATCATGGTTGATACACAGATCTGCTAGGAGCACCAAAGAACCTGGCTTGAGTCCTGCGGGCAGGACCACTGCTAGCATTCAACTGCCAACATGGCCAGCAATGAGCCTGTGCTGTGCCCAGAGTCTGCTTCGTGCTCCCCATAATCTGCCCCAGGGGACACCGCCTCCCCTGACCCCCGTTTATGGATAACTCCCTCGACTCCTCCAACACCCAGCACAGTAGATATGCCCAACATCAGTACTTTGGCACTGTGGCTTCATTGCACTCATTTCCACTCGGGAATTTGTTACGTAAGCTTACGGTGCTATGTGCTGAGGTGTTGGATTTTCTGTGCTGTGTTTAGGATGTGAGTCTGTATATTTTCAGCTGAGATTTAAATATAGCTTATGTGTTCAAGAAGTGTTTAATGCCTAACTGACAGTACTTTTATACCAAAGAAAAAATGATTTTTAGTATGAATATGTCCATATGCAACCTATTTATTGTACAGCTGAATTTTAGAGTGAATCCTTTTTTTTATTATTATTAATATAACCTGAAATTTCAAACATGCTCTGTCATTTCTGAATAAGCTCCAGTTGGAATAAGTGGATCTTCTTTCCTGCTGGTCCTTTTTGCAAATATTTGATGATCTTTAAATACTCGGGGGCACTTTTATGCATTAGGGACCTCCTTATTTAAAGAAACTCCAGCTTACATTCTTTGTCAAAGTAAATTTTGTTCAAGCGAGGAAATTTTGTTAAATACACAGTCCCTCATATGTATCTTGAAATCTCAATTTTTTTGTACCTTAAGATTTTTAAAGTTTGGAAACAACTATATATTAACTCTTTACCTCCTCCTTCGTGTATCCCTTATTAATGAATGCACAGAGGGATTTTGCTCCAGATGCTGAGTTGTCCCTTCCCTGCGCCTACAAGTTGAGAAATTTATTCCTGGTCATACATATTTTTCTCTGACATAATGCCTTGAGCCATCACAACAAAATCTGTGAATTAAATTAATTTACAGAAAACATGGGCTTATTTTGCTCCATTAATATTTGGAATGTTTGGGATTCAAGGAATTATGAAGGGAATTATTGAAAACCTTGCATTCGGCTTGAATAGGTCCAGTAAAAGTCCCGTGTACCTTCAAGTGCAGACGCCTTTCCTGAGCCTGTTCCTTCTTGTCCTGCCGCAGCTCCACGCCAAGAAAGCCACTGCCTGGCTGCCACTGTGAAGGCAGCGACAGGGGGATGGAAGCCTCATTCTAGATCTGGAGCATTGCTGTTCTTAAAGGCTCCACTCCCCGTTGAGCAGTGGTAGCGTCTCCCTCTGGCGTTGGGTGTCACCAACTGGAAATCCAGCTGATGACTTGATATTGCAGCGGTCCTCGCTGGACCGCGACTGTCCCTCATCCAGGGCCCTGGAGAGCACTTCTGGGAGGACTGGAATCTGTCCCTCGTTCTTCCCCACGCGCTCCAGGGACCTGACTCTAGGTGCTTTCTGGAGTGTTTCTGCTGCGCCGACGTCGGTAATTTAAGAGGGGTGGCCGAGGACCCCAAAACCACGGAAGGTGAGAACAAACCAGGAGGAAGTGTCTTTGTGAGACTGACACGAGGCTCGAGCTCACGAGGGGCAGGTCCCTGCTGGTGTGCGGGGCTGACAGGGGTGTGTGCTCTGGACGGAGAGCTCTCTGTTCAAGTGTGGGGCTGACACAGGGGTGGGGTACGTGCTCGGGAGGGGCAGGTCCCTGCTCACACAGCTGACCTGGACTGAGTGCAAGCCCAGGGCTCCGTTCCTTCATGCTTCACATGTACTTGGGCATCTTCTCTTGTAGGTTCTCTTGTGGAGGAGCAGGGCTAGGCATCCTGATTTTAGATATGAACGCATCCAGGCTCTCCTTCATGATTGTCATCGGAGCCTTGGAACTACAGTTGACCTCGAGCAATGAGGGGCTTAGGGGCGCTGACCCCCACCCAGTGGAAAACCCACATAGAAGGAATTTCTGACTCCCTGGAAACTTCACTAATAGCCCACTGTTGACCAGGAGCCTTAGTGATGACATAAATAGCTGCTTCACACCTATTTTGTGTGTTTATGTATTATGTTCTGCATTCTTGCAGTAATGTGAACTAGACAAACAAAAACATTACTAAGAAAATCAAAGGGAAGAGAAAATCTACTTACATTACAGCCCTGGTTTCTCAGAAGCAGTCCGCATGTAAGCAGACCCGCCTGGTTTAAAGTCACTGAAGGAGCAATTGAATTTCAGTGAGGGAACGTTCAACAGTTTGGCCATAAAATGCAGACTCCCTACTTCCCTCAGAAAAGAAAAGAAACTGCAAGCATCATACACTTAAACTGCCGGGCGATACCACTGACCTTGTATATTAAGGAGGTGACTCGAGTCTGTATGTCCAAGGTGGTCATCTGTTGCTCTCTTCCGTTGCTCTGTGGGTTTGTTGACATCTAGGATTTTTGTTTGTTTTTAGTCTTTAATGGTACAGTGATTGATTTTAACAACTTCCATATTTGACATTGTTTTTGATCTTCTTTTTACTTTGTTCCCTGCTTTTTGCATTCTCCTCCCTACCCCTCCCTCTTCCTCATCCCATTTTAATTGTTGGGTTGTTTTGTTTGCGTGTCTGTGTGTTGCTTATTTGTGGTTCTGTTGGTCTGGTGTTCTCTCCTTTCTTCTTGCCCCCGCTCCTGCTGCTGTAGCCCCACAGGCTGTGGAAGCTCGCTGAGCAGGTAGGGGATCTTCCTCTTCATCCACACCAGTGCCCCCCACTCACCACCGTCTCGTCAGCTTCCGGCACTGGGCCACACTAGAAGTTGAGTGCGGAGCCTGGCTGGGGGTGCGGGCCACGGTCGGAGGACTGGCGCCCAGCACGACGCGCTCTCTCAGACGTCTTCAAACGTCGCACGCTCGCGACAAACACTTCCATTACGCACAGTCAGTGGTTTCTCTGCCAGTTTGGGGTCCTGTCCGTTTGACTTCACTTCCCACATTTGGTGACCTGTTTTCTGATTTGTTTACTTTTTAATTGGCCTTCTGTGGTTATGTGTTTTGCATTACTCAGAACATCATACTAGTTCTCCTCCACTCAGCACTAGTTGGTAACATGGCTCCTTGAGTAGCCACAGGTTGGAGAGAATGTTCTTTGCGTAATATAGGGTGGGGTGTAAGCTTCCACACAGAGGCTGACGGCACGTGCTGTTCTCTGTCCTCGTGGTAAGAGACCGGTGACCAGGAGTGTTGAGTAGTGCAGCCTGCTTTAAGGAAGGTGTCTTTATCTTATTCTTTTATGATACAAGGTTAAGATTCTCTCCTGAAGAATTTTAGCATAGTTCTTCAAATAAATTATGAGGGGCTCCCTCCATTTTTGGAAATTTGTTTTGGGCTCCATCTTTTTCTACCCAAGGTATCACATGGCCTTCCCAAGAAATAGAGCTAGAATTTTTGGTTTATAACATAGCTTTAATTGCATTGCTCTTACATGGAGGGAAATCATTGGTCAGAAGTCAACCCAGCATGTTTTGAAGGGATTTGTGGTGCCAAGACCAGATCTCTGCACCCCTGTGTTCGGTAGCTGGGTCACGGGCTGACTCCCGGGCTGACTGCACTCTTGATAAACATACCACCTCCCTGACCTGTGTCACAGACAAAAATAACCTCCCTCAGCTGGAGGAAAGCGAAGACAGAGGCAGCGCTAAAAGGAACAAGATAATTATCTCTTATCTCTTCCTTTTCGAGTTGTCAGTCCGAGTCCCATGTTCTGCTTCAGTATCTTGACCTCTAAAAACACACCTTTTAGAATGCATGTAGCAAGAACTTCTCAGCAAACGATGCCTCCTACCCTTGACAACCTGCTAGCCAGACATCTTCACAGTTTCAGCCTTTGTTTATTTGGCAAGACGTGTGGCACGCCTCTTTTCTTTCTTATCTTTGTAAATATGATTGACAGTCAAGCCATGTGAGAATCCGGCATAATCCTACTAAGATGCTCCTTTCAGAACTGAGGTTATCAAACTAGACACTAACAGGTATCTTGGAGAGAGGTGTGGGTTTAGTGCTTTTTAGTTTTTGTTCAGTTTGAGATTTTACCACAGAAATTCTCGCTAACTGGTAGGAAGCGCAGACCCAGATGCCTCCCACACAAACTTGAGTTAACCGCGCTGTGTCCTTGCTTGCAGGGGACCTCGGGACCTGACCCAACCACCGTCTATGTTGATATGCGAGCTCTGAGACACGACAGGTACGGTGCGCTTGTGGGTTTGTTTCTTGGTTGCCCAGCGTGCAGGGGCTGTCTAGCGAGGGAAGGAGCATAGTGTCTGCTGGCTGGGAGTGCTGTTGCCGGGGAATCAAGCAGGAGAGCTGCACCAGTTGGCTTGAACCGCGACCTCTCTCCACCTGTTTGGTTCCCAGTGGGGCAGTCCACTTTGCGCTTTGACGTAAGCAAAGACTGTTGCAGAGTGGGCAGGGGTGACCGGAGTTGCTTCTGTAACAGTCTGGCCAGAAGCCTGTGGTTCTTTCCATCACCATTTTAACTGGGCACCGTGTTGCACCTTTTAAAGCTACCAGCACTCTGCCCACATTTCTTTTTGGGTTTTTTTTGGTTTTTTTCTTTTTGTTTTTTTTAAGATTTTGTTTATTCATTTGATAGACAGCTAGAGAGGGAACACAAGCAGGGGGAGTGGGAGAGGGAAAGACAAGCAGGCTTCCCACTGAGCAGGGAGCCCGATGCAGGTCTGCCCACATTTCTTTATGGGAATTGAAATTTTGTGTAAAGGTGTTTCCGTGAAAAATTAAAACATCAGTGAAGTTACCTTCTGTGCAGCTTCCCAAGCAGCCTTGAGCAAGAATGAAAGGTGAGCATTTGTCAGTTTTCCTCAAGCGGGGGAAGAACGTGGAGGTGTAAGCAAGATGAGAACCTTTCGAGGAATTTCTGCCCCAGCCAGGAGGGCCTACCAAAAAGCCTGCGGTTCCCCACTGAGTAGACTGTTTCTGTCTGGTCACTACGGAGATGCCCACTCGTTGTTGTTTATGTGATGGGACACGGGAACACGGACCCTGATACAGGTGTGTCCGGAAATGACTAGCAGGTGCTTGACGAAGGCATTTCAACGGCCAGACACTGTGGGTCTCCTCCTCTGCTCGCCTGCTGACGTGGGTTATCATGCTGTTCAGCGAGGGGAGAACAGAGTTCGTGGTCACAGTTAGTGGATGGGGGAAACTCACCCAGCTGAGCGGGTGGCCTAGCATGTTCCTGGGTGACACCGAATCCTGCGTGCACTGGGGAGCGGGGCTGTGGAGGCCGGGGAGGGGCCCAGGTGGGCCGTGCATGCCCCAGCCAGGCCGGGGAGTACCACCCCTGACTCACACAGGGCATTCCCAGCAGGGCTCTCAGGCCCCGTGGACGTCGGGCCATGTCTGATGAGCGCAGTTTGGGGAGTAGTATGGCTGGAGTCCCAGTGATGAAGGCCAGGGGTGCAGCTAAAAATGTCCTATAGCGCGTGGGACAGCCCCACACAGATGATCAAAATGCAGTGTGCTCAGCCTGATAGGCTCACCTGCATCCCCCTAACCGTGTCCCACTGGAGCCCGCCTGGTCTCTGGGGGCCTCATTTTAGACTCTGCTGTGGAAGGGGAATCAAGGTTAGAGCCCTGGGCTGGACGCCCGTGCGGGAGGCCAAGGACAGACATGACCACGCGCCCCCCCGCACCTTGCCAGCTCCCCGCCGCACAATCCCTGTAGATCATGTTCACGACTCAGAAATTTGGCTTTGAAGAGATCAAGTAACTTGTTCCAGGGGCATCGACACTTCCAAATGGTGACTTCTAGGCTTTAGAACAAATCTGCTTTACCCTCTACAGAAGCTACTTGGAAATGATATTATATTATACCTTTTATACCTTCAAAAGATGAGCAGGAGCTCCCCCAGGAATCCCTGTTTGGGTAGCATTTATGCAGTTCCGCCTGTGGCCTGGCCCCAAACGCGGGACGAGTAAGCGCCATGAGAGCACGTGGACGAACACGGACCGTTTGACCGGGACGGGCAGCTGACTACACGACCGGCCGCCCAAGCAGCCTGTACCACGCGTGACGGTGTCAGGAGCGTCCTGGATGGTCGCTCGGAGGGGACGGAGGGGCTGAACAGAAACCGTAGGCAGTTCTTTCTACGGTGTCTGTGAGCGACCCTGCGGAGGTGTTAGTTGGCAGATGTTCCTGCAGAGAGCATGCGACGTGGGAAAGGGAAGTATGCGGCAGAGTGGTCCGAGCTCGGGGAGGAGTCGGGGCCTGAGATGCAGTGCGTGCTCCTGGTGACTTGCTCGTTCTCCCGTCTTCAAAGTCCGTAAACCTTTTAAGTGACGCTTTTGTCCCTGCTGTGTGCTCTCTGACAAGGCCATCTGGGGTGGAAGTAGAAGTACCTGGGGAGCTGGAGGTTGCTGTCGGTCACACATCTTCACAGTTTCAGCTGTGTCATGACCGACGCTGGTGGCCACATCGCTGGCCACATCGGCGAGTGTCAAAGGGACCCAGCGAGCTGCCCCCACGCAGGACACGCAGAACCCCACGTCCGCCCTGGCCGGGCCTCTCGGAAGAAAGCCTTCCGCGTGGTGCCTGCGCCCTCCTGCTCTGGTCTGGCGGTCCACCTGCAGTCCAGTTGTGCCGCTGCATTCTCACCTCCCACGGGCGGGGGCGGATGAGGCCCGGAGCTGAGGGGAGTGCCTCCTCTGTCTGTCAGTGTTCAACCGAAACCAAAGCAAACCTGGACATGGCATAACCGCTCCTTCAGTGTGGTCTGTCCCCAGAGCTTCAGCAGCCGGGAGCCCGAGCTCCCGTGTCCTCCGTGTCCTCCATTGCCTTCACCACCTGTAATAGACCTTCCCGGCCAGGTCGGGCTGAGTCGCTGGCGGACGTGCTGCTCACGCCTGCTTTTCTGCAGCAGAAAACCTCCCTGGGGCCTCCCCCTCGCCTGGGAGGCCCCTGCCTCTGCAAGCTGGAGCTCCCACCCCCTCCTCGAGCTGGGAGTCGTGCCCCCGGGGCCTCGCCACTGTCCACAGCACCCCCAGTCTGCGAAATCCTCCTGCTTTCAAGCCCATTCCGTTCAATACCATCCACCCTGCACATTCCCCAGAGAAAATATCACCCAGCTTGAAATCTCCAGCCTCACTTCTGACCTTTATCAACACATAACCAGAAGTGTCTTAGCTGATGTAACGGAGAGGCTGTGGGGTCCAGCTGATCAGAGTTCAAATCTGGGCCGGCTCTGTGACCTCAGCCTCCCTGTGCTCAGGACGGGCATGGTACAGCCACCCTCCGAGGGCCCTGGAGGTGCTGTGGGGGCCTCGGGGTTGAAGCTGTCCCTCCCACGGCACCAGGGTGACCTGGGGGCAAGAGGGAGCTTGCCTGGCTCCAGGTCCCAGCAGGGGTGCAGGTGAAACAGGAGAGCCTTTGTAAATACTGACCCTCTCTCTTGTCACCATTTGTGGGAAAAAAAAAATGGGGCCATTGTGCTAATCTCAGACGTATGGAGAGTCAGTGATGATTAATCATTTGTTGCTTTGGTACCTTCACTAGGAGCCCCAGGGCACCTGCTTAATTATGATCTAATTAACTTGGAGAGGGTTAACTTGTCCGTGTATATGTGCAGTTTCCCTAGAGAGAGATTGTGCGTGCTCACGTGCACATGTGGGACAGAGACAGGTGACAGAGGAGAGCCACATTGTGGAAGCCTGTGATCAAATAGGTTACCCAAATTGATTTGATTTCTACTTGACTTTCTGCCTCTTTTTCTAACACCCCCTTGTCTTCTGTGACCCATAGTGTTTGGGATTTCATCCTCTGCGTTTATAGCAGGTCACTGTGGAGAACATTTCTGCCTCACATAGCAGGGGACTGACTCCTGTTGCTGGAGTAGACTTAGTCCCACTGTGCACAAGGGGGAAATGATGAAATGGTTTGGGGACTACTTGAAAGTGTTACTTTTTAAAATACTCTTTCTAATATGTTCATTTAAGATGAATTCATGGTCTCTCCATCTCTTCCAATTGGATCTTTCCTTAAGCGCTTGGATTTTGCAGACTTGAGATAGGAAAGAAAAAAAATTTTCAGCATTTAAAGAAATAGTTTTAGGAGTTAAATCTTATGGACACAATGTTAGCATAAAGCTTTCCCTAACTTCCTTACTCCTCCTAACTTGAGGTGCTAAGTCTCCAGAAAGCAGGGATAGTCCACTAAGTCCTGGTCAGTGGTTAACCAAGTATCGAGACCCAGAGAGAAGTGAGCGCAGAGTAGACGTGCGTTGGTAGACTTGTGATTTAGTCCACGGCAGGAGGGGGGGCCAGATGAACACAGAACAGCTGAAAAGGGACCCTGCTCTTGGTTGGCTCCCGGTTGTGCGTGATTGGCATGAGGGTCTTAGCAGAACCTGACATGGAGCTCGCATTTATTACTGAATCTCTGATTTCCGGTCACACGGTCCTCCACAGCCACCCGGGAGGTGTGTTGGGCACCTAAGTTGCGCAGGCCCTTTGTGAACCGAGCTGACCCCAGGAGTTCTGGATGATGCTGTGAGCATCGGAGTTTCCCTGACGTTCCATGAGGCACAGAACCCACTGCTCCTGGGTTCCGTTCAGCTGAGCCCGAGCACTCCCTGCCTGTCCGGCGGGGATCGGAGGACCTACCTCATGGAAGCATCGTGATGGTTCACTAATGTAATACATCTAAACAATGTATTGCTTCTATAGATACATACATTATATATATAGTTATAGATTTGCTTTTCCATCTGTTATATTTGCTGTCCTCCCTTATGTCTGTGTCTGGCTGTCCACAGGTGTGCACACATGCTTCTAGTTCATTGTTTGGCCACCTTAATCGCAGCTACGTAATCGAAGTTGAAGAGATCAGGGTTGTAGTGTGGGTTTTGTGCATTCCTTAAATGGTTCTTAAGGAGTGTACTTGAAAATCAGATGACTCTATCAATGGAGAAAACTGAGTAAAAAGAAAGAGTTCATATTTTGCAACATGGTAATTTTGGGGTGAATTTCCAGCCTCCATCTTCCGTGCAAGGCCAAAATCTTCCCTGGAATTGGTAGCTTCCATAAAAAGACATGATTCCCTTTACTCTGGTTCTCCCCTCTTTAGAATGCAGCCCAGCATATCAGCCTGTCGAAATCTCCTGAGCTGGCTGTGTGGGTGGGGAGCCCCGAAGCCGTGTCTGAGAGGCCCTGGTCGGGTGCGGGAGGCAG